GGCTTCGGTGGGTGTGTGGAGGTGGTTGGCTCCTGAAATGAGGAGGAGGTCAGCAGACACCCCCAGCCACCCACAGCTGGGGGACGAGTCCTGCAAGAGTTCCCCATCCTACCCCCCAACCCCAGTGGGGTCCATGACAGCTCCCAGCTCAACCCCATCACGCGCATTCAACTGGTGACACCACCTTGCCCGTGGAATGGGAGTCCCTCTCGGCGCCGGAATGGGAGGACCCCTGGGTGCCCCATTCCCATCAGCCTCACCCAGGTTGTCCCGTAGGGCGCTGGCCTCCAAGTGCTGGTCAAAATTCAGGTTGGGCACCAGCTTCAACCTCATCCGGGAGTAGGTCTCGGCGCTTGACAGCTTCCAACGAACCTCCTGGGGGTTTCTGGGGGGCAGGCGAGGGTGAGCCACCCTGGGGGATCCCCAGCGGTGCCACCCCTTCCCAGGGACCAAGGTGGGGGCTCACCGGTCAGCCCAAGCGGAGCGGGGCGAGGTGAGGAGGCGGCACAGGGACCGCCACTGCTTCAGCACGGTGCTGTGGTGGTTGTTGGCCTGCTTGAGCACGTTGGCGTGCCGGGCGTTTTCCGCCTTGGCGCGCTTCGCTGCTGGTTCCAGTACCAGCTCCTGCCAAGAGAGCAGCAGAATGAAGCGACAGCAGGGCTGGGGCTTGGGGAAATCCCCGAGGGGAGAAGCATGTCCATGGGGTGACGACCCCAGGGCAAGGAGAACATCCCCGGGATGGTGGACTTAGGGTGAGGAGCACGTCCCCAGTGGGAGGTGCACACCCCCATGATGATGTTCCTGGGATGAGGAGCACACTCCCAGAACAATGTCCCCAGGGTGAGGAGCATGTCCCCAGGATGACATCCTTGGCATGAAGAGCACATCCCTAGGATTAATGTCCCCAGGGTGAGGAGCACATTCCTGGGGTGACATCCCCATGGCAAGGAGCACATCCACTGGATGACATCCTTAGGGTGAGGAGCACATCCCCAGGATGAGGAGCACACCCTGAGGGCAACGTCCCCACTGAGAGGAGGATCTCCCCAGGATGAAGGGCACAGTCCCAGGATTAATGTCCCCAGGGTGAGGAGCATGTTCCTGGGGTGACATCCTCAGAGTGAGGAGTACATCCCCTAGATGACATCCTTGGGGTGAGGAGCATGTCCCCAGGATGAGGAGAACATCCCCAGGGTGACATCCCAGGGGCAGGCAGTACCTGGAACATCTTGCGGCTGGCCGCCTTCTCCTGCTCCCGCCGCTGGGAGCTGCTCATCATGGCATCGTAGCAGGCATTCCAGAAATTGGACATGTGGTCGTGGCTCTTGGCAAAGGTGTCCATCTCAAACTGGGCCATGGTGGGCTGCACCTACAGAGAGAACTGGGATGAAAGGGGAGGCGTTTGCAGGACTTGGGCACCCACCAACCATCATCCAGGCTATGAGCACCCCTGCCCTGGAGGTCACCCCTGCAGGCTGTCCCAACCCAGTGGTGACACGGGGACCCCACTGCAGCACAGACCCATCTCTAAGCCTGGGAAGGTGTTCCCCCAACAGCGATGCCACCCCATGCCCCATGGCACCTACATGCTTCTCGATGAAGCCCCTCCACTCTGGGGTGGTGCAGAAGAGCTGGAAGTCCTCATAGAAAGTGGGGCTGCCATTGGTGGGGGGCAGCGAGGGCAGGAAAAGCTGCAGCTGCAGGGTCTCATAGCACTGGTCCATGAGCGTCCGAACGATGGACACCAACCAGGAGAAAGTCTCTGACTTGGCATCCAATGAACGTCGCAGCGGGGTCTCCAGCTTGCCCAGCAGGTAGCAAGCCTCATCCTTCTTGGGGGCCGAGGCGGTCTGCAGCAGGCTGTGCAGCTTCACGTACGCCAGTGAGTGCAGCTGCAGGGGGGGACACGGGACATCAGATGGGGCCACCTGCCCCACCCCAAGGGCTGGGGTGTCACCCTGAGCCCCAGGAAGGGTTGACCCACCTGGGGGTCTTGCAGGAGGATGTAGCCCACGAGGATGCGTAGACCCGTCTGGGCCATCTCCTTGAGGTCGGAGGTGCCATTGGCCAGGTGGTACCAGACGCCCAGCTTGTCCAGCAGACTGCTCACCCCCTCGTAGATCTGGGGCAGCGGGGAGGGGGGAGGCACAGTGAGCCCCCCACCCAGCTACACACCCCCCACCTCCCCAGCCGGCCGGGTGCAAAGCCACCAGGTCTGTCCCCATCACCCAGCCACCCTCGGCTTTGCTCAACATGGAGTTGGGTTATGGGGAGGGGTCAGGATCTGGGTTTAGGGGTAGGGTAGAGCCCCAGCCCATAAGCCTGATGACAAACTAGTTAGGGTTTGGGCTGGGTTTAGGGTATGGGTTAGGGTGTAGGGTTAGGATTAAGGGTTAGGACAGGGGTTAGGGCTAGTGTATAGGATTGGGGCTGAGATTGAAGTTGATGGCAAGGCTGCAGGGTTAAGGTTTAGGATTAGGATTTAGAAGGTACGGTTAGATTTTTAAATCAGGAGTTAAAGTTAGGGTTTAGGATTAGGATTCCGGTTTACAGTAAGGTTGTTGGGTTAGGCTTAAGGGTTGGGATTGGGGCTGGGGTAGGGTATAGAACTGGGGTTAGGACTGAGGTTTATGGCAAGGTGGTAGAGTTAAGGTTTAGGATTAGGATTTAGGAGGTATGGTTATGGTTTAGGACTGGAGTTTAGGGTACAGGGCTAGGGTTTTGGGTTTACAGTTAGGGTGTAGGGTTAAGGTTATTGTTTAGGATTAGGGGTTAGGGCTAGGATTTAGGATCAGGGTTATGTTTTACAGCAGGAGTATATGGTTAGGGTTTACAGCAAGGGTTAGGGTACAGGTTATGAGTTAGGGATAGGGTTTAGGGTTGCGCCTTAGTGTATAGGGTTAGGGTTGGCTTTATGGCAAGGGTGTAGGGTTAAAGTTAAAGTTTAGGATTAGGGGTTAGGATTTAGGATCAGGGTTAGGGCTTACAGCAAGGGCTAGGGTTAGATTTACAGGTTAGAAGTTAGGGTTAAGTTTTAGGGTCAGATCTCAGCATGTCGGGTTAGAGTATAGGATTGTGTTTAAGGTAACGTCTTAGGGTTGTGGTTAGGGTTAGGGTACAGGATTGGGCTTCACAGCAAGGGTTCAGTCTTATGGTCAAGGCTTAGGGTTAGAGTTGAGGTTTATGGCAAGGGTATAAGGCTAGGGCTTAGGTTTGGGGCTAGACTGAATTTTCTGGTTATGGGTCAGGGTTAGGCTTAGGGTTAGGATTAGGGTTTAGGATTAAGGCACAGGTTAGGGTTAGGGTTTGGGTTTAGGATTAAGGCACAGGTTATTCTCCAAGGTTAGGGTAAAGGGTTGCAGGTAGGGGCATGGTTTAGGGTCAGGGCTAACATCAGGGCCAGCAGGAGGGTTCAGAGCTCAGGTTTGGGCCCAGGACCCCCTGCTCGTGCCCATCCACCTTCTCGCTCCACAGGGCCTGGTTGTTGTGTCCCTCCGAGAACAAGAAGTCCTGGAGCAGCCGCAGCAATTTGAGGGCGTTGTGGCTGAGACCGGGCAGGGTGGCCGGCCCCGACTCCTTCAGGTCCGTCAGCGCCGACTCCAGCATCATCTCCAGCAGGCTGAGGGAGAGCAGGTAGCTCCGTAGGGTGGTCTTCCCTTGGGGTGGCACCCCCTGGACCAAGCTCACCTGGGCAAGACTCCCCTGGGCAAGACTCACCTGCGCTTGATCTCATCGGGAGGCCGCACCAGCTCGCATGCCGTCCCCAGCTTGGTGAGGACAGAGAAGACCTGCCCGCGTTCCCTCCACGCTGCATCGTCCCAGCCCTCCACCCCACGCCAGGTCACCGAGAAGATGATGTTGGTCAGGAGGTTGCACAGCTCCTCCTCGGGTGTTTGCTGCCAACCAGGAGGAAGGGTGAGAGGTCTGGTGTCCAGCGTAGCCCAGGGTGGTGGGCACAATGGTTTGGGGCTCACCTGGGGGTTGCTGGTGTTGGAAACGTTGTCACTGGGCAGCGCATCCTGGTAGCTGCTCTCATCCAGGACGTTTGAGAGGCTGGAGCTCTTGCGTGCTCGCATCCCCGGGAAGGGCTTGAAGCTCTCCAGGGGAGAGGGGGTGCCGGGGCCGCTGGCGGGGGTCTGCGTGCCGCTCTCAGCTGTGGCGATGGAGCTGGTGCTGGCCAGGTCGAGCCCCAGGTCGAAGGGTGAGGTGGAGAAGGGCGAGAGCGGGTGGTAGACACCATCGAAGGGAGGACCATCACCGGGGTTGGAGGATGACCGGCTGGCCCGGTCAGAGGAGTCGAAAGACTTGAAGTTGTAGGAGTGGAAGGACTTGGTGCGGCCGCTCGGGGAGATGGAGTGATCGGAGAAGCCCTCGGAGAGTTCCTGGTCGGAGGCCTCGTAGCCCAGTGGGAGGAAGACGTCCAGCTCCTCAGCTGGCGGCGGGCTCGTCCCCTCTTTGCCGGGGGTGTCTGAGAGGCGGAGGAGCTCCAGGCAGCCCCCGTTGCTGCGCGTAAATCAAGTGGAAGAGCTGCAGGAGAAAGCTGGGGTGAGACCTGATGATGTTGCCCAAGCTCTTGGTAGTCTCTTGGGGGGTTGGCCCCCCTGAAGGGCAGGATGCTTGAGCATCCCAGATCCTCCATAACCATCATGGAGTGCTGGGGTTGCACCACCTCCATCTGGCATGTCCACGTGCCGGCAGCCCTGTGCATGGGGTGTTCCCACCATCCCCATGGCCCCCGCGTTTGGGCACGGCTGGGTGCCTGTGGGTGGCTTTGGGGAGCTCAGTGCCAGGGTGACCGCTCGGTCACAGCCCCTTGTGCCCATAGTCCCGCTCACCTTGCGGCAGATATCGAGCCGGACAGTCAGATCCGCCCGGTGGGACAGGTAAACCACGGCCACCAGGTCCTTGTAGTTGGGGGGGTCTGTGGACAAGGAGAGAGAGCACGGTGGTGGGACAGGTCCTTCTGGCCCCAGAAGCCACCAAAGGTCCCCACAGCCCCAAGAGCGGCTGAACCTTGTAGGAAGCGACCAGTGAAGACCCCATGGCATGCACTCGGGATGGGTGGCCAGGGCCAGCCTGGTTTTGGCAGGGCGCACAGTACCTGCCCCGAGGACCTGCTCTGAGAGGCAGCGGAAGAGCAGCATGGAGCCGGGGATGTCGCTGAGGCAGGTGATGAGCCCCTGGTACCCGATGTCCTTCAGCTTCAGGCGGTTCTTGCTGCGCTCGGGGACCTTCTCATACTTCAGCATCTTGTAGAGGACCTGGCGAGGCAGAGAGAGGTGGACACCCCACTGCGGCAAAGGCCCCGGCTTCTGGGGATGGCAAGAGGTTGGCACTGGGGACCTGCCTTACCTTGAAGACCCTCTCCCGCACTTCATCTGAGAACTTCTTCTGCACCAGCAGTGAGAAGAGGACCTCCACGTGGCCTGGCTCAAAGAGGAAGGTGAAGAGCTGCTCCTGGGCAGGTGAGCCCTTCAGCAGGCTGTGGATCACCTCCAGTGCTCCGCAGACCTGCCGGACACGGGGCCGGTTGTCCACTGCCCTCCATGTTCCCCACCAGGACCTCAGTGGCTTCTTCCCACCCACTGCCAAGCGTCAGGCTAGCCCATGGCATGCTGAGGTTTTTGGGGACCTGGGTGGCTCAGTGCCATACCTGCTGCTCATCTTGTGCCCCAGCCACATAGCTCAGCAAGCTCTGCATCTCCTCCCCAGAGAAGCTCCTGCAGAAGAAATCCTTCACCAAGCTGAAGAGCGATGTCTGCACTGTCTTGATGTCGTCAGTGGCTGTGGTCTTCTCCCTGGAGGTGCTGACGGACAGACATCCATGGGCATTCCCTCTGGAGATGTGCACAGCCACCCTCCGGCCCCTTGTCACCCATAGCCAGCATGATCCCAAGTCCCACCATGAAGCCTGAGGAACTCCGGGGCAGCCTCGTGTGGATATAGCCCTTTTGGCCAACCCTGCCCACCAGGAAATGTCCACCCCATGCGTTTGGGTCTCTGTAGGGTGCGAGCACCCCTGGTAGCACAGGCATGCGGAAACGCATCGGGGCAGACAAGAAAAGGGCATCAGCTTGTTGCAGAAACCACCGCGCTCTTGGTTGATGCTGCAGAAATGTGGGGGTGGATTTTGGGGCTCACCGGGCAAAGTTCTGGATGGAGGCTTGGGGATGGGGCGTGGCCATGAGAAGCAGAAGGTCCTGAACCCACCACCATGCTCCCACACCGTAAGATTATCTCATGAGGTCCTTGCAGGGGGGATATTGCCCCAAGCCAACAGTGTCTACCCCAAACTGCAGCTCTGAGAGGTGAAGGCCATCACATCAGCGTTGGGGGGTCCTGGCTACAAGTGGGAGCTCACCTGTAGTACGTCCGGATGGAGTCGAGGATGTACTGCACCCCATACTTCTTGCAGATGCGCTGCTTGTGGTCCTTGATGACGTTGGCCAGGTACTGGATATGACCTGCAGGGAGAAGGTGTGAGCAGCCATGGAGGCCAGTCGGGATGGGGAACCCCCCCAAGCACTCCCAGTTCCCACCTAAGCGGACGGCAAAGTCGCTGTTGCTCCAGATGCGGAAGTCGAAGAGGAGATGCTGGTAGAGGAGGTGCAGCAGGAGCCCGCTGCCCTCGGAGGCCACCCGCTCCATGAGGATCTGCGAGGCCATCAATGTGCTCATGTCCAGCAGCGGACCGGAGACCTGCCATGGGTGAGAGGGACACCTTGCAGCCCCAGCGTCCCCCTTGAGGAACGGCCCCGAGGACTACGGGATGGAGCCTTTGGTAGCCCCCCACACCTTCTGCAGCAGTGCCCCGATGATGGCGGGCCCGTGGCACTGCACCAGGCTCTCCTGGTTCACCGGGTGGTTCTGGATGAAGTTCTTCACCAGCAGCAGGAAGGCGGCCACGCTGTTCCTCTCCAGCCTGCTCTCTGCAAGGCACAGGGCAGAGCCCCACCGGTGGCTGTGAGCCCTGCGCCCACCCAAACACCTTTCTACAACGCTGCCCCCATCTCCCTGCAAAAGGGCACCCTGGAGACCCCACTGTCAACTTTTCTCAGCAAACTTTTCAGCTTCTTCCCCCATTTCCCCCAAATTTAAGCTACTGGAAACCTCATCTTCCCAGAAATGCTCGGTTATGACTAATTAGGCCATAACAGCATCAGAAGATGTCAATGGTTTCTCCATTGCCCCATAACTCTTGGTGCCCCGGGCAAGACCTCTTACACCCTTTTGGTAGAGATCAGCCCGCTCCAGGCAGCACCCACATGGCAGTGGGGTTACCTCCAGCCACCCGAGCAGGATGGTTCCCACTCCACGTCCCCCGAGGTCCTCACCTGAGGACCTGCCCAGCGGGATGAGCATGCCTTGGGCATTCCGGGAGGATGTCAGCTCTGGCCCCACCAGGTCGTTGGTCTCCTGCTCATCCTCGGGCTCCTCCTTCTTGGACACCACTTGCTCGAGCAGGGGCAGCAGCACGCCCATCCCACCCACGCAGTTGACCACGTCCTGCCGGAGGGAGGCGAGAGGCTTTGCCGGGTGCTGCGTGGTGACGGCAGCGTAGAGGAGGAGGTTGCACGTGCACCCAGGGTCCGTCCTGCCTGCTCATGGGCTCAGCCCAAGCCGGGGAGAGCCAGGCCCCGTGCCTAGCAAAGATCGGGGTGTGCCCTGACCCATCCTACAGCACACACCTGAAACAGGTCCCCCAAAAAGCACCTGTTCCCTGGCACCACCCATGGTGCCCACCCTGACCGCTGATGACCTATGGGGCATGCAGGTCCTTGGTGGACCCATGGGTCAGGCAGGTCTTTGGTGAACTTGTGGGTCACAGAGATCCTTGGTGGACCCAATACCATGTAGCAGAGTCCCTGTAGGGTCCAGGGGAACCCCCATGGCCATCCAACACCCCTTGGGGGTCCCGCCCCTGCCCCATACCCCAGGAGGGGCCCAGCTGCCTCTATGCCATGGGGCGGATGGACCACCCTGCGCCCAGCGTACCTTGATGTCCCAGTTGACCACCTTGTGCCCCGTCAGCCTCCCGTCCAAGCTGTGGCTGGGAGAGAGGTCCAGGCAGATGTTGTTCCTGCAGGCCTAGAAGAGAGCACCATGGGAGCATCTTCATGCTCCTGGAGATGCCACCTATGGCAGAGGGTCTACTAGCGCTGTCCCCATTCCCAGAAGGGTGGCTCTCCTCACCTGTGGGGTGTAGTACAGCAAGAGCTTGCCACTGAGCTCCACCAAGTCACCTTCCAGTGTGAACGGTGATGTGACATTTGGCCCTAGAGGAAGAGGGTTGGGGTGAGCTGAGGCATGGTGGAGGAGATCCCGGTTGCCACCAGCACCCCTGGGGACATCCCCTGCGTCCCACCCTGACGTACCCGCACAGAAGAGCGCCTTGACCTGGGCTTGCTGCAGAGCCTCGCAGAAGATGGCCACAGAGCCCAGGTGACCCTCCAGGGAGGTGGGGCTGCCCCACTCGGTGTCTTGGCTGCCGGCTGCTGGGCGGAGCCGATGCAGCAGGAGGTGAAGGACTGGAAGGGAGAAGGAATCATGCTCAGCCCCCAGCCCCATGACACGGGGAGGGGTCTGGCTGGGCGCCAGGGGGGTCCCCCACCTCGTGGAGGGAGGGGAAGCGGAGCTGCGCTGTCTTCCGCAGGTGCCCATCAGCATAGATGCTGACGATGTTCTGGCCGAAGGGCCGGCGGCCGGCAACGTGGACAATGTCAATGCAGTGCTGCGGGGAGAGGGAGGAGGTGTCAGGCCCCCTGGTGTCCTCGTTGCCCCCCTGATGGGGACGGGGATGGGGATGACGCTCACCCAAGCCGAGTCATTGAAGGCAAACTCTGGCAATGCCACCGTCATGTAGTCCTTCTTGGTGCAGACGGCCACCACCAACACGCCGCCGGCGGTAAAGAACGCCTCAAAGCCCGTCCCGCCGGCCGTGAAGAAGCTGGTGGAGGAGAAGCATGGTGGGGATGGTGGTGCTGCCCCTCCTCATCCTCACCTCAGCCCCCCGGTCCCTCCGTTGAGCATCACCTGTAAAGCTGCCTCCTCTTCGGTCTTGCTGGTGGCTCGGGCTCCTCCTCGCTCAGGCACAACCAGGCGTGGAAGGCGAAGGCACCACCGGGCCACTTCTGGATGGCGGGCACCATGATCCCCGCCATGCCGGGCGTCAGGTCGAAGCACTGCAGTGCCCGGGGGGGTCCCTCGACCCGCGCCATCCCCGAGAGCGCCCGGATGACGGCTGTCGCGTAGGGATGTGGTCCCTGACCCCTCTCGCGCCGCAGCAGCCGCAGCAGCTGCCGCCGCCCCCCCGGGC